GAGGGCGGTGAATCGTACCTGCCGCGCCAAGCCTGGAGCTTCAAGAAAATGGTAAACTGCGACCCCACAATTAGTCGTTCACTTGTAGCAGCAGACTCCTTCACCAAATACCTTACTCCATGACCAGCTGCCTTATATCTTGGGCCAAGCTTTCCAGGAGTGTTTTGCGACCATGTCTGACAACGAAGGCCCCCGCCGCGACCACGGCTCGTCGAATGGCGACCGAGGCGACAAGAAGCGCAAATGGGCAGATCGCGATCGCAGAAATGCCGCGCGGGGAGGTGGTGGACGCCAACAGCACGGAAGCCGTCCGAATAAGAAGAGAAATATGGGGCGTAAGGAGCATAAGTGAGCGCCTTTCTTCAACATCAGTCGGCCTGTCTAACTAAGCAAGTTCTTCCCAATTAGATCGACGGGATCGCAATGCCGAACAGCAAGCCAAATATAAAGAGCAGGACGAGAAGGGCGAAAACGAGCGACCAGCTCTACCCGCAGCTTTTCCTGCGGAAGAGGTTGAGGCCGAGGAGCGCAGGCCGAAGCGCAAAGTCGCAGTCATGATTGGTTATTCAGGCACTGGCTACAAGGGCATGCAGATCGACAACAAGCAGAAGACGATTGAAGGCGATCTGTTCAATGCTTTCGTTGCGGCCGGCGCAATCTCCAAGGCGAACGCATCTGACCCCAAGAAGTCCTCCCTTGTGCGTTGCGCTCGTACCGACAAGGGTGTACATGCTGCCGGCAACGTTGTGTCCTTGAAATTGATCATCGAGGATGATGATATCCTCGAAAAGATCAACAGCCATTTGCCAGACCAGATCAGGGTCTGGGGTATTCAGCGAACGATCGGCTCCTTCAGCTGCTACCAGGCATGCGACTCGAGATGGTACGAATACCTTATTCCAACGCACTCTTTCCTCCCACCACACCCTTCAAGTTACCTGGGCAAGAAGCTGGAAGAGTATGCAGAGAAAGAGAACGACCTAGAGGGATACCGTAAGAGACAAGCCGAGGTCACAGACTTTTGGCCCGAAGTCGAGGAGAAGCACATTAAACCTATCTTGGAGTCTCTTGATGACTCAATACGGCCACTCGTTCTGGAGGCACTTTACAACGTTGACGCTGTAGATGCGCAGCCCGGTGAAGACCCTGTAATCGACGCCTCAATCGACAACGAGCATAAGGAAGAGAAACCTGTGAACACTGAAGCAGCTGAGGAGACTGCAATGCCAGATGCAGACGAGACCAATGCCAGTGAACAACCAGTAGACGAGGTTAAGCAGGCCATCGACGCGATAGAGCAGAAGGAACCCAATGTCACTCTCGATAACTCGACCGACGGCACACGCTCTCTGCCCGAAGGCGTCGTGAATCAGCCTGTCCTCGAAGAAGCCATCAAGACGCTCAAAAAGGCCTACATTGACATCAAGAAGGCCTACCGCATCTCTCCCGAGCGACAAGCGCGCGTCCAAGCCGCACTCGACAAGTATCTCGGAACCCACAAATACCACAACTACACCGTCCACAAAAAGTTCAACGACAAATCCGCCCAGCGCTACATCAAAAGCTTCAAAGTCGCACCCAAACCCATCATCATCAACGACACCGAATGGCTCAGCCTCAAAGTCCACGGCCAAAGCTTCATGATGCACCAGATCCGCAAAATGGTCGGTATGGCTGCCCTAACAGTCCGCTGCGGTACCGATCCCGCCATCATGGATAAGAGCTTTGGGAACGAAGTTGTGCGTATTCCTAAAGCACCTGGCTTGGGTTTACTCCTCGAGCGCCCTGTTTTCGACTCTTACAACGCCAAACTTGCCAAACAGCATGCTCGCGATCCCATTGATTTCAACAAGTACAACGATAAGATTGAGGAGTTTAAGGAGAGGGAGATCTATCAGAGAATTTTCAGGGAGGAGGCACAGGGGAACCAGTATGTTCATTTTTTTTCTCTATCCCTAATAGACTTTGGGTGCTAACGAGACTAGATTCAATACCTTTTTTACCCACTTGGATAATTACAAGGATCCGCAGTTCCTGTACCTGACGTCTGGAGGTATCGAGGCGACGAAGAGGAAGCGCGAAGATAAGTCTGTCCAGCGCAAGTTTGAAGAGGATTCTGAGGATGAAAATGCAAGTGGTGGAGAGGGCTAGGCATGTTGCACAAGGACAGCGTAGCAGTGTGTACTTGCGACATTTGGAATCTAGAATCGTGATACCCACGTAGATGGTACATGCATTTGCTTAGACGACTTATGCGAGAGAAAATAAGGACATTGCAACATATCTCTAAACACCATTTGCATTTCCAACATCACACATTTTAGATGCAAGAATAAGGTGCAATCAAAAAGGTTTCGTTCAAGACGAACAAGGTTACACGCTCCCTAGCTGTTACACGCATGTAGAAAGCCTCTAGATCCTAGAATTACAATTCCCCTCTTTCCCCACACCACATGCCTCGATGGCTCATGTGCGGGGACCCGTTAATTTCATAAAAAAGAGGGAGGCCTTTATGCCGTCCTGGCAACAGGCTTCTTCTCACCACCCATGTCGTGCTCGGTGTAGTAGAAGTTCTCCTCGGGAATGCGTCCCCTCAGGAACTCAGGCTCAGAGCCGCGGACATAGATGTCCTCGAACAGGACCTTGCCAGTGGGCTCTGGGGGAGCCATGTTCTCGGCCTCGGCAACCTCAGCATCGACGTCGGAACGGGCCTGCTTGTCGATGGACTTGAGCTCCTCCTCGGAGGTAACGCCCCAGTCGAGCAACTTCTGCTTGAGGCCGGCAATGGGATCGTTTGTGCTGCGCATGCGCTGGATCTCCTCACGGGTCTGTTACATGTTGTTAGTATTTAAAGCATGCATCACACAGCGGATAAACTTACTCGGTATGTGGTTCCGGGATCGGACATGGAGTGTCCTCCGTAACGGTAGGTGACGTATTCGTAAACGAGGGGACCCTTGCCAGCGGCGGCGTACTCCTTTCCGTACTTGACGGCGGCCTTAACGGCAAGGACGTCCATGCCGTTGATTTTCAGACCGGGAATGTACTGACCACGCTTGTAGTAATCGGTGAGGGCAGATGAGCGGTTGGCAGCGGTACCCATACCATACTTGTTGTCTATGTCCAGTTAGCAGACTTCACATGTATTTGCGGAATAGTTTACGCACTCTCGCAGCCGAAGATGACGGGCAAGTTCCAGAGCTTAGCCATGTTGAAAGCCTCAAAGACTTGACCCTGATTGGAAGCACCGTCTCCGTAGAGGGCCAGGGTAACGTTCTTCTTGTTGGTGTACTGGCATGCAAAGGCGATACCAGCGCCGACGGGGACCTGAGCACCAACGATACCGTTTCCACCGTAGAAGCCGGGGGCGAACATGTGCATAGATCCACCCTTTCCGTAGGCAATTCCCTCTCTCCTGCCGAGCAATTCACCGATGATGGACTTGACGGTTGCGCCGCGCATCAGGGCGAAGCCGTGGCAGCGGTAGGCGGTGATGAGATGGTCGGCGCGTTCAATGGCGTGTTCGATACCGACGGCGACAGCCTCTTGACCAGTGGACAGATGGCAAAAACCCCGAATCTTCTTCTCCTTGTAGAGCCTATCAGCGGCCATTTCCATGCGTCTATTTCCCGCGTTAGAAGGCCATAACATGTGGGAATTTTAGAATTCCGAGACTCCATACCGGACAGCGACCATGTCGTAGTACATCTGCTTCAGCTCCTTCTTGGTGACGTCCATGGTGTATGGCGGCGGGTCGAGTTCATATGTCTCGAATGCCTCGTCCGAGAGGCGGATCTCAAAGGGCTTGTCGTCCTCCTACAAGCAGTTAGTAACCCATTGCACAATTGTCACCCGTGAATTGGCCGCCGGGGAGAATTGCTTACTGAGGGCACATTGGCCGGGTCGGTATGCGATGAAGCGGCGTCGGTGGTGACAGACCTGAAGGCGGGGCGCGCAACAGGGATGATGGCATTGCGCCTCAAGGGCGAGGCAATGCTCCGCCTAATTGTCCTGGACAGCATTGTGAAGGGCGAGCAGGATGGACGAGGGGTGAAGTCGGGGTTGACTGCGGTGGTGGTGTTGATTCGAAAAGTTGCTCAGCTCCGCCAGCTCGGGGATCCGCTTTCGCGCTAAGCGATTAGGCTCCGCTCAACGCCAATTCTGACCATATCCCGATCTTCTCCGACCCAACAACATCTCGGAGCATGCAGCCTTGTTAACAGTGTCTTGATAACCCTTTTCGGGATTCCCATTCTCTGCGAAATCATCTTTGCTCTCTCTAAAGACCAGCAATTCATCAGCAACTAACAAAATCCGCTGCATTACAGATTACGGACATGCGGGGACATGAGTATTATCGCCCCCATCAGTACGAAAAGCAACGGTCCGAGTGCGCCATCCGAACGGAAAGGCCTCCTGCATAACCGTCTGATGGAAGACAGGACAACAGTGAACTTGGGTGGTCAGCAAATGTCTCTCAAATAGGACATGGGATGTACTTTTCAGCATCGATCGAAGCATTCCTTACTCTGTCAGTTAACGCACTAGGTCCTTCTCATCCCAACCGTGTTCCCATTACATTTACCAAATTGCCTGTTGAAACTCGATGTCTCACCTATAGACGTCCCTGTAAATCCTTTTCCTAGTCGAGCTGCATGAGTTGCTGGGGCTAGTTCGCATCTCGCCAACCGCGCGCTAATCTATACGCTTATATGACCATGGAGAAGACTCAGAACAGGCGTGTGAAACTTTATCGCATCCTACGACCGACTAATTCATATAATGGATACTCGCGCGCTTAATGAGTTGTGCGTCGCCAAGGTTAGACGAAAATAACCAGAATAAGTTTCAGATAGTAGTCTCATTCCTCATAAAGTGGCTACAATGTCTCGTTTTCCTACCACAGAATTATACTGCTTCGAAAATCGACCAAAGTTATCTTAGTTACAGGACCTTCTATAATAACACATCTGAATCTGACTCACAACCGATCCGAGAGGATGGGGTTCACTACACGCCAGAAGACACGACAAAGTCCTACCGCTCCTTTGCCTTTGCCTTTCACTTACGAGCCCCTGAACTACACCGGAGGTTCCATCAGGCTGCTGAAATTTCTACCGCAACTATCAAATACAGGACTTATACAGTGTGAGATATGGCATGCTCATGTCTCATCAAGATATACCTGCCTTTCCTACGTTTGGGGACCGCCAGGCAATGAGCAGGATGTTCTGATCAATGGAAAGATTGCAAGAGTGAGAAGGAACCTTAAAGACTTCATGGAAGTTGCACGAAAAAAGTACGCAGCTTCATCACGCGCATTCTGGATAGATGCCGTTTGCATTGACCAGGGTAACGACCTGGAGAGGACCCATCAGGTCGCTCAGATGTCAAAAATATATCCAGGCGCTGAAGAGGTTGTTGGATGGCTGGGCTACAGTGATCGGATAGAACGAGCATTCGTGTTTTGGCGTGAGTTGAACGCATCAAAGCCCAAGACATATCATGATACCCTAAGGATATGGAACAGCCATCTAAGCAAGCGAAATAAAGAGTTGAGGAAGGACTGGAACGAACTTGCGGAGCAGACTTACTGGACAAGAGCCTGGATCACTCAAGAAATACTTCTAGCAAGAAAGCTCAAACTTCTCGTCAACGACTCGGAAATTCAGCCGACACCGACTCCAGGGATTTCACAATTACTACCAGATCGCTCGTCTTCGATGAGAAACTTGAATATGGTATCCACTCAAGTCTTTCACGCTTACCTTAGCCATCTGAGCGGCTCAAACGAGCTGATGGGTCTCGATCTCATCTCAGTCCTCCGCTCTCTGTCAACAAGAGAGGCTTCTCAATCCCGCGATCTTATCATCTCTCTCCTCTCAGTTGTTCAAAATGCAGACTCCATAACCGCCGCCTGCAACAAGTCCAACATAGAAATGTTTCTCAACCTTCTCGACATTTTCCCAGACTCCCTCTGTCCATGCACAACATTGTACCTAGTTAATGCTTTGGAGCTCAAACTCACCCCTGAGACATTCGCCAAATCACCCAGAGACCCATCCTTCTTCGCTCTCCCAGTAAAAACCGCAGATATCTGCCCTACATTTTTCCACAATCCAGCAGACACAATCACATCCTGCGCCCACTGCCAATCCCAAGTCCCCGATCTAGGACTCGACTGGACACCCCTCTGCATGTCCCTCTTCAGCGGCTGCACATCCAGAACCCACCTCTACCTCAGCAAACGCCACATTGCCAACGGCAAAACAAAGCACGTGATAAAAGGCGGACCTAAGCACCTAGAACTCGAAGTCTACTCCGTGGAAGAGGACGGCACCATCGGGGGATACACTCTCTATCTCTCTACAACCACCCTCATAACCCTCTTTTCGCAGTACCCGCACTCCGCAGAATATTCCTCTTTCCACAAACCAGGTGCTAAGCAACTCATCTGTGCCGGCCCAGCACTTTCCCGCACATCTCGAAAAATGCATCGCGTCGCTAGACCAGCAGCATCTTGTTCTCTATTATCGTGCGGGAAGCAGCATTCGTCAAGGGTAAGCGGTAAACTTCCTGAGCCATCGGCTCAAAGATATGGTGTAAGGCCGCCGGTGCAAAAGGGTGATTGGGCTGCTGCATCTACGATTGATCGGTTTTATGGGGAACCAGCGCCTTGGGTGCCAGGGCAAGTGCGTGGGGTGTAACTACGCACAGTGGCTTGGGGGTTTGGAACTGAGTAAGAGATACCCAGGATAATTGACAAGGGAAGAAGCGCAACGTCACGTTTGGAATATTAGTTACTATGAGTTTGAGTATGAAGAATTTACTTTTCCTATATTTACAACAGCAATTTTATCTATAAACTATGCTGCAGGAGGATCAATGTGCTGTGTCTGGCTTGCGAAGAATTCCTTCTGAGCTAAACACCTCTCACTAGTGCACTTTGGACACCGGAGAGTCATTTGAGGGCTGCAGGCCTGACCGCTTTGCAAATGTGCTTTGGCAATGTCCGCTAGCGCTTCGATGAAGACACGGTTGTCGTTCAAGCTGTCTACACGCTTGACACCCTCGTGACCTTCAGCATCTTCGCCAATGACCTCCTTATCAAGTTCGTACAGCGTCTCGATGTGGTCGCTTGTGAATGCGATTGGAACCAACAACATATCTGTCTGGCCCTTTTTCATGTATTCCTTAACAGTGTCTGAAGTTTGTGCGCCGAGCCATGGCTGAGGTCCGACCTGTGACTGCCATACAAGACGGTACTTGTACTTCATACCTAGGCGCTGCATGACTGCATAAACGGTGGCTGCAACTTCGGAGGGATATGGGTCACCGCGGTTGACGACGGTCATTGGTAGACTGTGTGCAGAGAAGAGAATTACGACACCGTCTCTTCGCTCAGCAGGGTATTCGGCGAGTTTCTTCTCGATGAGCTGGGCAAATGCTTCAACGAGACCTGGGTGAGCAGGCCAGCGATCAATGACACTCCATTTGATCGCGCCCTCAGGTTCGACTTCCTGTCCAGTCTCTCCAGCTGCACGCTTGCCCTCCAGTCTTGTCCTCCACTTCCAGAGCTCGTTCAGCGAAGAACCAGTAGTAGAGCATGAGTATTGTGGGTATTGCGTGAAGGCGACAGCGCGACCACCCTTGCCACCTCCAAATCCATCTGCCAGCAGCTGCTTATAGGTGTCTTCAGTAAGAGGATTGGCGTAACGGAACGCGACGTATGGTTTGTGCGGTGCTGTCTCGGGTGAAGTCTTGTCGAGAATCTTGCACATTTCTGCGGCTTGGTATTCCGACCACTTTCTGATCGGCGATCCTCCACCAATCTCGGCATATTGTTTTTGAATCTTGGGTGTTCTTCTCCTTGCAATGTAAGGTCCGATGTAGTTCTGGAGGGGTCCTAGAGGAATCAAGTCTTTGTCGGCCTGTCTAAGTCAGTTTAATTTCATTGACACGTAAGTGGAAGCCATACAAACAACATGCTCAAGAAGCCGTGAACCTCATCGGTAGTGGATGGCCCGCCCATGTTCATGAATACCATGGCAGTTGGGCCCTTTGCTCCCGGCGTAACCTGCGTCGGGGCGACGGTGGCATTTCCTCTTCTCCATTGCGCACTGTATGACGAAAGGACGGATGTGGCGGGTGTGAGGGAAGTTGCACGCTTTGCAGCGTGGGAACAAGATATCCGCAGAGCCATTGTGGAGATTACGACGAGAAAGAATGCGTTTTCTCAAACTAATGTATTGTACTAGACTGCCACAAGGCCAGAACGCCGAAGTGAATAATGTCTGAGCAGGAAAAGCTTCGACCAATAATCGCAGCCTCTTTGGTAGCGATGACGATCGAGGCTGCGGATCGGCTGCTCGGAGATGCCCCACTGTGGCTACAGGTCACGTGCCGTCGCGTTGGAGCTAAGGCGCGTGCCTACGGTTGCCTGGGGTTGTCCCGCCGCTCCAACCTGAATGCGACAATTGTAGGAGTTTGTTTTTATACCTTTAATCCGCCGCGCTGTAGAAGTGATTGTAAATTAATCAAACAACCACCGTCTTGACCTACAAAATCAGGGCATCTTCCACGTCTATTTGACCACAACTTTCCATTATGGCGGACCCTCAAGACAACCGACCAGGTGAAGAGGAAGAAGACGAGGATGAAGAGGAAATTGACGATACTGTGCGGTCAATTGATTTTCGGTATTTTTGGACTGTACTGACATGATGTAGGGTTACAAGACTATTAAAGATGCTGTTCTCTTCGCCATCCATGTCAGTCCCAGTATGCTTGAAAAGCCGCCCAAGTCAGAAGACAAGAAAGCCGAACGCGACTCACCAACCTCTGCCGCTCTAAAATGTGCCTACCAATTAATGCAGCAGCGCATCATCTCAAATCCAAACGATATGATGGGCATACTGCTATTTGGCACAGAGGAAACAGACTTAAAAGACGGCGACAGTACGTTTCAACACTGCTATCTCTTGGCCGACCTAGATGTTCCATCAGCACAAGACGTTAAAAGACTGAGAGACATGGTCGAGGACGAGGAAGAAGCCGAAAAGATTCTCAAGCCGGCAAAAGATGGAGCCAGCATAGCAACAGTGCTCTTTTGCGCAAATCAGATCTTCACCACCAAAGCACCAAACTTCTCGTCAAGACGTCTGTTCCTAGTCACCGACAACGATTATCCGGTCAAAGCCAAAGCAGACAAAGACGCTGCAGTCACACGAGCCCGCGATCTATACGACTTGGGCTGCACCATTGATCTATTCCCCATTTCACAACCAGACCACAACTTTGACAGATCACGCTTTTACGATGATCTTGTTTATCCAACATCGCCCTCAGACCCAGATGCACCAGTTGCTATACCTTCTACCACGAAAATTGCGAAGAGCGGTGAAGGCATTTCTCTTCTGAAACAACTCATCTCTTCAATCAATTCGAAAGCCACACCTCGCCGTGCTCTATTCTCGTTGCCGCTGGAATTAGGCCCCGACTTGAAAATTGGTGTGAAGGGATACATCCTGATCAAACGCCAGGAGCATGTCAAATCATGCTATGTATGGGTTGGTGGAGAGAAACCACAAATAGTCACGTCATCAACTACACACATGGCCGACGACACCGCACGTACTGTTGAGAAGGCTGAGCTACGGAAAGCGTACAAGTTCGGTGGTGACGCGATAACATTCACACCTGAAGAAATCACGAAGATACGGCAATGTTTCGGTGAACCTGTCATACGTATAATTGGCTTCAAGCCTCTTTCCAGCGTACCCATCTGGGCGAATACGAACAAGTCAACATTCATTTATCCATCAGAAGCAGACTATATCGGCTCAACGCGTGTCTTTTCGGCATTACAGCGGAAGCTACTAAAGTCCAAAAAGATGGGTTTAGTATGGTTTATTCCACGCCGTAACGCTGCGCCTACCCTAGCAGCACTCATTCCAGGCGAAGAGAAAACCAACGAAGAAAGGGAGCAAGTCATGCCACCTGGGCTCTGGCTCGTACCTCTTCCCTTCGCCGATGACATTCGACAGTTCCCTACACCTCCTGAGGAACCACTCAAGACCACCGACGCCCTAACAGACAAGATGCGCCTCATCATCGAGCAACTCCAACTACCAAAAGGCATATACGATCCTTCCAGATATCCCAATCCTGATTTACAATGGTTCTACCGCATTCTTCAAGCCCTCGCGTTGGAAGAAGAGCTGCCAGAGCATCCAGACGACAAGACTATACCGCGCTTCAAGCAAATCGACAAGCGCTGCGGCGAATATATAGAAGACTACTGCAAGGAGTTCCAAGAAGTGTATGCTCAGCAACAGAAATCTGCTCTTGCACACCGTGCCAAACCCACTGCTAAGAAACGTACCGGCGGAGCCGATGTCGATGTCGAAGAAAAGAAGCCCGTAGCTAAGCGTGTGAAGAAGGAGTCTAAGAATGCAGATGATGGTGATGAAAATGGTGGCATGTCAGATCAGCAGATGGCGGATATAAATAATAGCGGGCAGATTAGCAAACAGACTGTTGCCGTACTGAAGCAGTGGTTGAGTGCTAGGGGTCAGAGTATCGCAGGGAAGAAGGCGGATTTATTGGAAAGGGTGCAGGAGTATCTTGAAGGGAAGGGACTGTAAGCGTTCAACTGGATCTTCTATGACGATACAAGGCGTTAGGGAAAAACTGGAGTGTATGTTTTACTCCTAAAATTAGCCGCTTCGATCGGCACCTTATTCCCGTCGTTGCTGGGAATCGGAACAGACACACTACTGGTTGCTTACATAACGATACTCGGCAACCCGGTGATGTTCATTGTCACATGGAACACGGTGACTCTTAAATGACTCCTCCTATGTACGTTCTGGCTTCCAAACTTATCTCGGTAAAGATATATCCAGGCGTTGCCCAATTGCTTCGGTTCTCGCAGCCTCTCTATCATCGCTTTTTTTATACTCCATCCTAAACCAGTGCAAATGGATCGTTCAGCATTCTCCGTCCATGACTCGGTTGCGTACATTTGGCAACAGCTTGGTCTACCCGAGAATGCTTTAGAATCACTTGAACTGCCGGTTGATGCCGAATGTCTTCCGTCTTCTTTCAAAGTAGATATCCTCGCACAGTCAACCATCGCCGTATCTGCACTCGCAGCAGCTCTCTACTGGTCCGCCCGACATGCAAACAAGATACCACACGTGACTGTCCCAGCTGAGCATGCATGTGTTGAGTTCAAGTCCGAAAGACTGTACACACTTGATGGAAAAAATGCATCTCCGCCGTGGGGCACGATTGGTGGATTACACAAAGCTTCCGACGGATATGTAAGAATACATGACTCATTTCCAAATACACGGCGGAACGCATTGCAGATCCTAGGACTAAGTCTTGATTCTTCCAAAGATGATGTTGGAAAAGAGGTCACGAAATGGAAGGCTGTCCAATTAGAAGATGAAGCTTTCCGGCGAGGAGCTGTCATCGCTGCACTGCGATCCTTTGAAGAATGGGATGCACTACCACAAGCCCAAGCTATTGCGGACTTTCCGATCCTGATGATGAAGGCCTCTCATATCACGCCTTATATGCCACCAGTCCCATCCGTATTTGAAGACAACAAATGTCTACGAGGCATTCGTGTGGTTGAGATGAGCCGAGTCATAGCTGCGCCTGTTGCAGGCAAGACACTAGCCGCACACGGGGCGGACGTAATCTGGATCACATCGCCGTCTTTACCTGCTCTTCCAGGTCTCGATATTGATCTATCGCGTGGAAAACGTACAGTACAGCTCGACATAGAGAAGAGCGAAGACAAAGCAAAGCTCTTGGATCTGCTTTCCACAGCTGATATTTTCATCCAGAGCTATCGTCCTGGGAGTTTTGCCTCAAAGGGACTCTCTGCAAAGGAACTTCACAAAACAAATCCCAACCTGATTGTAGCCAGCCTAGATGCTTATGGTCCTCATGGCCTCTGGAGCCAGAATCGCGGTTTTGATTCGTTGGTCCAAACTTGCTCTGGTATCAACGTTGCAGAAGCACAAAGGTATGGTGATGGTGAGCCCGCACATGTGCTACCCTGTCAAGCTTTGGACCACGGCGCGGGATACCTCCTGGCCTCTGGTGTTATGACAGCACTATATAAGCGTGCTACTGAAGGAGATATATATGAAGTGAAGGTATCATTGGCCGGTGTCATGAAGTATCTACGGTCTTTGGGGCGGTATGAAGGCAAGAGCGGATTTGATCGCAAAGACTTTAAAAACTCGCAAGATGTCGAAGGATATTCGGAATCTAGAGAGACAGCCTTTGGTATACTGAGAGCCGTCAGACACTCTGCGAAAATTGAGAACGTCGAAGTTGGTTGGGAGACTATGCCTAAACCTCTAGGCAGTGACACTCCTGTCTGGATCGACCATACTCACAGATACTGAGCGTATTATCGGGGCTCGTTCAGCTACTTATTCTTGACCTTTCCAACTATTAAATAATGTGAAAAAATACCAATGTTTCTATATTCTAATATAGACTAGCTGTTCGCGTGTCCAAAGACCACAAATGCACCTACCATGGGGCTATTGACGTCATGCCCATCGCGTACCTGCATTAGTCCTTGTATCTCAACGCCTTCCACCGCGTCACCATCCCTTGCCTTTGACGCTGAATTCACCGTTTCAATTTTCCATACTTGACTCTACAGCACCGTGTAATCTGAAAAGCACAATGGCCGAAGTAGCAGCAGGCGCGTGGGTAGCAGCCGAAGTCGTCGAGCATACAGCAGAAGCAGGCTACGCAGCCTATCTTGTATCCAAGCCAACACTACCTCTCAAGGTAACATTTACGCGCATAGCTACAGCCGCTGGAGACCCATCAGCGTATGTACTTCGACCACTCATTTCACACAGTCAGACTGACCTACAGGCGCTCCTTGGCCCGCTCCAACCACACAGTTACAGTGATTGGCAACAAAGCCTACATCTTCGGTGGCGACACTGCAAGCAATGTTCTTGCGAGTAACGATGTCCATGTGATTACTCTTGAGCGGTCTGGGAAACCAGAAATGGATTACAGTATGATTCCTGCGTTGCCAACGTCTGAGAACCAACAGACGCCCCCGGCAAGATCCAACCACGCAGCTTGTGCTTTCCATGGAAACATTGCTGTCTATGGCGGCAGTGATTTAAATAAAACTCTGACCGATGAAAGGTCTTCCCTATGGTTTTTCAGTACTGAAAGGAAGACCTGGGATCTCCTCGAACCCTCCAAGGGAGATGTCGATACCGGTGCCATTGGCCCAGGACCACGTCGGAATGCGCAATTATTCGCAAACGATCAGCACGTATTACTCTTTGGTGGAGTCGATGGCTCAGGCGATCACGCATCAGATCTCTGGCAGTTCGACATTGCGGCCCGTTACTGGACACAGCTCCCTACCGCACCGATAGCGACATCAAACGCATCGCTGGCAAACGGACAGCTATGGTTGATATCTGGTAACGACCCGATGAGCAGCCAGCTCCATCACATCAGTATCAACTCTCCAAGCGAAGAAAAGAAATGGGAGTCCTTTACCTTCCCAACTAATCCTCTCGCCCCTGGACCCCGAGCAAGACACGATGGCGCTCTACTTCCTGTCACAACTGGTTGGGGCCGTAATTACCTCGTTTATCTCTTTGGGGTTCGGGGTGACTCTGATTTAGAAACTCGTGCTATAGACCCAGAGGATCCAAAAGATGCGGGCCAAGTGACGCAGTTCAGCGATACGTGGGCACTCCAGATTCCGTCGAGCGACTTGGAGCCAAAGGCATCTATGACACTCAAAAACGCAATTAACCCTGCGAAACTCAAGGATGCTATCAGGTCCGCTGTAGGTGCTGAGACTGGCCATCTCTCATGGGCAGAAGCAGTGGTGCAGCTTCCGTCGGACAAGCAACTAGACGAGGATGGAAGGCTGCATCCCGGTCCACGAGCTTTCTTCGGCGCAGACGTATTGAAAGGAGGTAATAGTGTCGTATTCTGGGGCGGAGTAGACGCAAAAGGGGAGAGGGTGGGCGACGGATGGATAGCAAAGTTTGAATGAGCAACCTCACATATCAAACCCATCATGTACATTATCAACAAGTAACAAAAAAAGAATATGTATTTCTTATTTTTCGAAAGACCAAGTTCTATGTACGTTTCTTAATCTCTCCGATAAATCCCCGCTATCCAACACGCCCTCAGCAGCGCAAGACCCCACGCCATGCCCAAACTATCCCACACAACATTCAGTTTACTCCCCATGACCTCCTTCCACCCAATTGCCACTTCAATCATAGCAATATCGGCACTCTCAGCCAACATGAGCATTTCGACATCGAAAATCCAGCCTTCAGAATGCATGTAAGGGATAATATACGGCAGCGCGGGCCGCGAAAAGAGTTTGAATCCACACTGTGTATCGCGAATGCGGGCGGTAGCCGGCGGGGTCATGATGCGTAGCAAGAGATGGAAGGCGTGCATGAGGAAATTGCGGAGTTTGGAGCGCTTGACGACGGCTTCGCTGCCGACGAGGTGAGCACGGGATCCGATTGCTACGCCGCGGCCGTGCTTGTCTTCTATTGTCTGGCAACCTTGGACGAGGGCGCCGAGGTCAGAGAAGCGGCTTGCGCCGTCGGCGTCGGCGAAGACGATGTAGCGGCCGCGGACGTGGCGCATGCCGTGGGTTACGGCGCCGCCTTTGCCTCTGTTTTGCTCGAGGGAGATGACGCGGATGCTGCCGTGGGGGATGTGGGTGGAGTGCTGAGTCGTTGCTTTTGCATTGTCAGAGGACCAAGGTCCGGGTTTGGGTTTGGGGTGCTGGCTGAGTTGGTGTTCTTTTGCGAAGTTGAGGGCTACGTCTACGGTTTTGTCTTTGCTTCCGTCGCTGACGATGAGGATTTCCCAGCCTTTTTGGGCTTTGCTGCCTTTTTCGCCGGCGTGCGCGTCACCGTATTCGCTCTCGAGGAATTGGACGGCTTCTTCGAGCATGCCTTCTAGACGGTCTTCTTCGTTGTAGGCGGGTACCACGACACTCATGAATAGTTCGGCCTCTTCAATCGGCATCTGTGGTGGAATGACAGCCTTGCTCCCGGGCTCTTTTGCTGCTTTTCTTTTCGCTGCTTCCTTCTCGGCGGCCCATTTGTCCAGCCAACACGGCAATTCCTTAGGATCGCTTCGCGCCCCGTCAGGCAGTATCGTGATGTATTGTTTCTCAGACCGGCGTGGTGGACGTGGAGTTGGCGCAAGTAGATTTAGTGCTACGTAAACCTATTCACCATAGAACACCAAGTCAGTAACCTGTACTTCACATTCCATACCAATGCGCGTGTGTATATCTTACCCAGAAACCAAGTGCACCTATCAAGAAGCCCAGCCCGACACAAAGCACCCACGTCGGCGGCATTTCAACAGCCTGCCTAGGATACGATTCGAAGCCATATCCAATACCAAACGAATCCGTATCAAAAGCGCGGTTCTCTTTCGACATGGTTGTTTTTGGAAAGCGGGGAGAGAGATTGGGGGATTTGGGGGAAATGCGCGCCCTCACGAGGGCTGTACAAGGGTCGCGCGCGTTACCGAAAAGCCGAGGACATTGAGTGACGAACACAGAAAAGAAAAAGCAAATATGGCTCTTAAACGTGCGGCATATGGGTGGACGACTGTTATTTCAAGGGTTCAGCAATGCGAGTAGGGAAGGGAAGATGCCAATTGCGGGTTGCGCGCCAGCCAATTGGCACGAGAAGATGCAACGTGGAAGCTGACGTAGATAATAAGCCCGTGAGTCTGGTTAGCGGGCCGAGGACCGCTTTCCTTAGGTAAGCTCTAGTCGCGAGTTTCGTCTTTACGCTGGCATGTTTTCCAGCATCTAGGGTCTAAACATGGGATTTAATATTAGCATGGTCATGCTTTAAATTAGCTCCAGGAGCGATGGCTGTTGGAAACGATTCAAATTACAGGAACGACAAAGTCGGCATATATCTAACGGGACCTTACTCAGTCATCTGTTGGATTGATGGCACAAAATCTAGTCCAACCTAGCGTTAGATGTACATCCAGTACCGAAATCTTAGTACCCAGAATGCGCGGAATGCCACCGAAATGCTCAAAAAGGTATACATGTACCCAGATCTACAAAAAAAACAGACATTGCTCTGCCATATCATCTTTCCTATTGTAAATGAAGCAGCAATATTTGTAGCACGTGAAAAAGAAAAAAGAAAAAAGAAAAAAGGGGACATATGGGTCCAGGTACATTCTAAGTGCCAAAGAGAAAAGTGGTTCGCAAGAAGGAATACCGCAGTGACGAAGAAAAGGACTAGATCTCTGGTTCTTCAACCCTCTCATCGCGCCCCTTCTCCTCGCCGATATATACTAGAAGCCAGTTAGCATCCACTCAATCAATCCCAGGACAGTCAAACTAGTAACTTACCATGCGGACGAATAAACCAACTACACATGAACGCAAGCCCAAACGTAGCCGCAAGCGACACAAACACTGTCTGTCTATACGTTGCAACAGTAGCACTGTATATACCGTTGAAGATAGTAGGCCCCATTACACGCGCAACAGCATGAAGCAAGCCCGTAGCACCAAGCAACTGACCGACTTGATCCTGCGGCACATGTTTCGTCAAGGCTGCACCCAGCGAAGGCGATCCGATACCACCGATGGAAGCCAGAGCACCAGAAAGCGCAAATAGCTCGCCCTTGCGTACAACTGCGAAACCTAGATATCCCATCATATCAAAGAAGATAGCAGCGCGGATGATGGAGAGATCAAAGAGGTCGGAGCCAGAGCTACGGGTGCGAGCAGCGCCGTTTTTGCCGCGGAAAATGCGGGTGAGGACGGGTAGGATGACAAGGAGAGAGAAGACGCGGCAGCTGTTAACGATGGTTGTGAAGCGCCCGGATTCGAATTCGTGCCAGTCGAATTGGCGACGGGTGTAGACGAGCACGACGCTCATGGCACCCATTGCGACGCCGAACATGATGGTATCTGTGGCAGCGAGCAGAACCAGGTTCCAGCGCACGGCAGATGAAGTGCCAGGACCGGTAGGCCAGAGAATCTTGAGAGGGCCGAAGAGGTTGACAGAACGCAACTGGTTGATCCAATCGGCTGCTGGTTCGTGTCGTTCAATCTCCTCCTGGTATTTCTCGCGAGCAGCCTCCTGTCGTGCTTTGCTAAGCGACTCGGGGACCAAAAAGGCAAGGAAAGCAATGAAGAACAGATGCGCGCCCAAGGCCATGTAGAAGATAAGAAGCACAGCTTCAGTCTTGCCCACAACCTTCTCCCGAGCATTGATAATGTACCCGGCAAGAACAGGTCCGATAGCAATACCACCAAACAGACATGCGTGAAAGTATGAGAAAGCTACGTTTCGCTTCTGGGGCGCAACCACGTCGGATGCATATGAATGCGCGCAAGCCATGCCAACAATGAAAGATCCAGATATGCCTTCCAAACAATATCCAACCAGGATCCAGTTGACATGTACGGTTTCCGGGAACTTTGCTGCGAGAATGGTGATGATTTCGCCAAGGAGGGTGCCGCACGTGTTGGCAATCATAAACTTCTTACGTCCATATCGGTCGGAAAGGGCGCCAATCTTGGGGCTGATGACGGCGGATAGCAGGCCAGAGCATAAGCTGGCATATAGAAGGAAGAGCGAGGAGCGCGATGAAACAACATCGTTCTGGCAGCGGTCTCGGCCGGGGTCCATGGGTGAGGATATCGGATCGGTCTGCAACGTGGCGTAGTAATCCTCACAAACCAGGTCCATGATAAGGTTGATCTTAGGTACGATGATGCCGCCGAATGCTGTGGTGAAGAGCAGGAACGGAGGGAGGAGCCAGTAAATCTGTGCCTGTCAGCCATCGTCGTGACGCACGAGTTTTGATGCGCCTACCGAAGGTCGCTTCCACCAGGGAAGGCCTCGAAAGTCTGCGTCTCCAGCCCATTCCTCCTCGCTGTTGTTGTTGTGGTCGTCGCCATGAGCACTTCCATAGTCGTCGTCTCCAGAGGCGCGTAGGAGGGGTGCGTCTTCGTTGTCGCTATCGGGGCTGGGCGAAGTTGCCCCTGACTTATGCGACTGGCTCAAACCCCTCAGGCGGGCTTCAAGCTCACGCTCGATATCGACATCCTCGACAAATGGAGAGTCCGTAGTCGCAGCCATATCGAACAGACTGTCGTGTTCAAACTGTTCTGGTCCAGACGTCGAGTCCGCTTGTGGTGGGGATCCGGGGTATTGTTGCGGGGCGGTATTTGGGTTACGACGGCGTGTGCATTGCTGGAGCTCAACTGCTTCTCCTGTTAGCTCCCTGTTGTCCATGGTACGATAGGCGGAATTGAAAAAGACATGACGCGGTCGAGTAGCGCAAAAAGCAACTGGGCGCAGTGGTCTTCGCCCTTCGCCCTTCGGCGTCGGTACAATGCGCAGTGCAGCTTACCAAGAATAGAACGCCTCACGTACAGCCCAGAGCGGGTCGCGTTACGGGGAACAAAGGACGATGGGAAAGCACAGTGGGGGGGAATGTCGATATCTTGTCCGTGACATTACGTCCACTAGCGCTCGCTTCGAGGATGGCGTGCAAGGGCGAGACTGTGGAGGATTCGCTGTAAATACTCGTCATGACGTTGCCATGTTTCGTGCGCCTCCAGTTCCCACCCCCACTAGCATACTTGCGGGTCAAGTCCGCGGACTACTCCTGATAACCATCGGCATCGGAGTTTAATGTTATCCCGTCTCCATTTGGGTGATGGGGGTTCGAAGTTCAAAGTGAATATATTGTGAGCTTGTGTCTCGTCTTATCTTGATAGAGAAGGTTGGTTGGGTGCATGACAGGGGGAGAAGAGCGATCGACCGAGAACAAACGCCGACAACATCAAAAGAGTGCAAGTGTAACAAGAACACAATCGCTAGCAACTGTATAGCACCAGACCAACTGTATGCAGTAGCGAATCGCTAGCGACTGACTGTATATCGCAACGGACCGAAAATACTGTTGTGTGGATGAGTTTGCGATCTGGACGCGTGAGAGAGATGGCCATCTCG